AGCCCCTGGATGTACTGAAACTCACTCTGTAGTCCAAGCTAGCCTTGAACTCAGAGATTTTCCAACCTCTGCCTCCCCAGTGTGTGAGTCACCACTGCCCAGCTACTTTTTTGTTTGGTTGGCTTTGTTTTGCTTTTGTTTTGGTTTGTTTGTCAACTTGACACAGCTAGAGTACTCTGGGAAAGGGGACCTCAATAGAAAAAAAGTCTCCAGTGGATTAGCCCAGAGGCAAGTTTGTGGGACATTTTTTTATTGATGACCTATGTGGGAGGGCTCAGGCCACTGTGAGTGGTGTCACCCTGGGCAAAAAAAGTCTTAGGATGTATAAAGAAGCAAACGGAGCCGGGCGGTGGTGGCACACGCCTTTAATCCCAGCACTCGGGAGGCAGAGGCAGGCGGATCTCTGTGAGTTCGAGGCCAGGCTGGACCGACAGCCTCCAAAAGAATACAGAGAAACCCTGTCTCGTAAAAACCAAATCAAACGGAAGAAGCAATGGGAATCAAGCCAGTCAGCAGCCCTCCTCCATGGCCTCCGCTCCATTTCCTACCGTGAGCTCTGCCACGACTTCCCTCCATGACAGACTGGAGGACGAAAGAATCCCTTTCTTAAATTGCTTTTGGACATGGTCTTTATCACTCAATAGGAAGCAAACTAGGACTAAGCCAAGCTGACTGTCACACAGCTCCTGCAAAAGGGAACTCTCTCCTAAGCCTTATGGGGGCGACAAAGTTCAAAATATTAAAATGTTCCCTCCATTTTCACAGAGCGAGAGTCCAATTCAAAGACTTAAAAGTTCAGATGTAGGACTCAGCTGGTGAGATGGACAGCTCGTGAAAAAACAAACAAACAAACAAACAAACAAAATGGTCTTTTGCTGCCAATCCTGAAAACCTGTTTGACACCCCCACCCCCGCCTGAGTTTGACCAGAGACCCACATGATAGGAAAAAGAAAAAAAAACTGACTCCTACAAATCATTCTCTGACCTCCACAAGCAGGCATGGCATGCGTGAACACACACATACACGCACATGAAAATGTATATCTAATCTTCAAATGTTTTAGGTTAGAAATGAGACCGCTCCCTCAGTGAAATTATCCGAACGTGACACAGGACTCAGACGTGGAAGACCCCTGGCCCTCAGGATTAACCCAAGACTGGAGAGCCACATGTTAGATGGGGGACCTTCCATTCCCTGCTAGCGCAGAGCACTATGCATTCACAAGGAAGCTATCTTCTCGCTCCCAAAGCATACACAGCTGCATCTGTGTAGCCCAGTCTGGGCTTAAACCTGAAATCCTCTGCTTCATGCCCCCCCGCCCCGCCCCCGCCCCCCCCCCCCCCGCAAGCAGCTGGGATTATAGACACCACCTACCATAGCTACTGATTTTTGTTTTGCTGTTGTTTTGTTTCTCAAGACGGGGTTTCTCTGTGTTAACAGCCCTAGTTGTCTTTCCGCTTGCTCTGTAGACCAGGCTGGCCTCAAACTCACAGAGATCTGCCTGCCTCTGTCTCGAGAGTGTTGGGGTGTGCCACCACCGGTTTTAACCTTACTTTTTTGGCTTTGGTTTTTCGAGACAGGGTTTCTCTGTAGCTTTGGAGCCTGTCCTGGAACTCACTCTGTAGACCAGGCTAGCTTTGAACTCAGCTTCACTTATCTCTGCCTCCCAAGTGCTTTAGGTGTGGACTACCACATGCATCCAGCTGGCTTTTAACAGCTTTTTAGCTGGGTCCTTTAAGTTAGATCCTCCTTTGCTGCCAGATGCATTTTATAAGCTGCATATCTTGGTGCTGCCAAACTCAGGCAGCAGCCAGTTTAAAAACTATTTCAGCCGGGCGTTGGTGACACACACCTTCAATCCCAGGACTCCGGAGGCAGAGGCAGGTGGATCTCTGTGAATTTGAGGCCAGCCTGGTCTACAGAGCGAGTTCCAGGAAAGGCTCCAAAGCAATACAGACAAACCCCGTCTCGAAAGAAACAAAAACAAAAAACTATTTCAGAGAAGGGTCGAGAAATACTAAAGGTTGTAACTTGAAGCCAACCCATGAGTAAAAGGTTCAAATTCCAGCACTTTGAAAAAATGTTCCGGCTGGAAACAACCAAGAGTATAAAATTCCCTTATTGGCGATGGCCCATCCCGCCCTCTCAAATTAATTCTTCCTTCCCCAGCAAAGTCACTTCCTACTGAGGAATTTCCTCTTTCTTTCCCATGGAACCAGGTACAGACAAGAGAGATCTCCCTGTTTCCTTCTACAGACTGGAAAACAAGGCCAGAATAAGTAAAGAACCCACTAGAAACTAGTTATCCAGCAGTCAAAGGTACTCAAATGAGCCAGGTACTGCGTGGGCACTTGATCATCGTTCTTAGAACCTCGGTATTTTCTGTTTTTATAAGCTGGAGAGATAGCTCAGAGGTTAAAAGCCCTAGCTGTTTTCTGTAGAAATAGTGTAGCAGGCTTGGGAATGCAGTTCTATCGAAGAGTGCTTGCCTAGTCTCCTAGTATGTGCAAGGCACTAGCATGGGGGGGGGGCAGAGAGAGACACACAAGGAAACAGGCAGACAGACAGAAAGAACAAACTAGGACAACCGGATAAAGAAAATGTGAACACTGTTCATAGTCCGCCTGTCTTGCTGTGGTTGGGCAGGTTCTGAAAAAGGAAAAAGAAAAAATACAAGCACAGAAAGTGTGCTACCACTGCCTTCAATACTACGTCTTTTATTTTGAGGAATGGACTCACTACATAGCCCTGGTTCCCTTGAAACTTACTATGTAGACCAGACTGACCTCAAACTCAGAGAGATCTTACTGGCCCTGACTGTTGAGTGTTGGGAATAAAAATGCACACTACCATGCCCAATTACTTGATGTTATTTATTTATTTTTGGTTTTTTCGAGACAGGGTTTCTCTGCATTGTTTTGGAGGCTGTCCTGGAACTCGCTCTGTAGACCAGGCTTGGTCTCAAACTCACAGAGATCCACCTGCCTCTGCCTCCCTAGTGCTGGGATTAAAGGCATGTGCCACCTGTGCCCGGCTACTTGATGTTATTTTTAATTATTCTATTTTATGTGTATGGGTGTTTTGCTTGCATGTATGCCTGGGTGTATAGCATATTTTAAAAACAGTCTACAGGCTTCCTGACACCAATAATTTATTAAAAAAAAAACCTGTCAGGCGTTGGTGGCGCACCCCTTTATTCCCAGCACTCCGGAGGCGGAGGCAGGTAGATCTCTATGAGTTCTAGGCCAGCCTGGTCTACAAGAGCTAGTTCCAGGACAGCCTCCAAAGCCACAGAGAAGCCCTGTCTGGAAAAACCAAAAATAAATATATGAATATAAAAAATTGAACTAGGGGGCTTAGGAGATGGCTCAGGCCATTTAAGAGCCCTGGACTCTCATCCAGTAAAATGGGGTTCAGCTCCCGCCACCTGTAACTATAACATCCTGTTCTGACCTCCACAGGCGCAAGGTACACAGGCGTCCATGCAGGCAAAACACATGCACAAAACAAAATGAGTAAGTATTTTGAAAATTAACAAGTAATGTCAAGCAAAAGTTGCAAGACGCCTGTAGTGACTCTCCATATATATGTATTTTTCTAATTTTCAAATAGCACTTACAGTTTAGTAAGGCTCATTTTAAATGAATGTATGTGTTTGCTTGCTTGTTTATTTTTTTAATATTTTATTTATTATGTATACAATCTTCAGCATGCCAGTAGAGGGCACCAGATCTCATTCAAGGTGGTTGTGAGCCACCATGTGGTTGCTGGGAATTGAACTCAGGACCTCTGGAAGAACAGTCAGTGCTCTTAACCGCTGAGCCATCTCTCCAGCCCCGCTTGCTTGTTTATTTAGTGCAGGGGATCCCCCGTGCTGCCAAGAGGCACATCTGGAGGTCGCAGGACAACTCGTAGGCTAGTTTCGGCCATGAGGCTTGGTGACAAGCACCCTCACTTGCTGTGTGTGTGAGTGTGAGTGTGTGTGTGTGAGTGTGTGTGTGTGTGTGCAGGTGCCTGTGGAGACCAGAAGAGGCTGTCAGATTTCCTGGCGCTGCAATTCCAGAGCGTTGTAAGCCTCCATGGAGGTGCTGGGACTCAAGTTGGTGGTGCACTCCTTTAATCCCATCACTCTGGGGGTAGAAGCAGGCAGATCAAAATAGAGCTCAAGACCAGCCCAGACTACATAGGAAGTTTGAGGCCAGCTCTCATGGTGTGCAGCCTTGTCAGCAGGAAGGAAACGAGGAGGAGGAGTTAGCCACAAAAATGTCACAGAGCCAGGCCCAGGATTGCCTTGAAAGCGCGGAAAAAAGCTCTGTCCTTGGTGCTGCCGAAAAACCTTTTGACCGATTTTCTCCTAAACATCACAGCAACTAGCAAAGCTTTGCTTCCTTCTGGAACTACCTGCACTGCCGGGTTTTGTGAGTAGCTCTGTAGACCAGGCTGGCCTCGAACTCACAGAGACCCGCCCGCCTCCCGAGTGCTGCTGAGTCTATTTCTTGACACGGACTTTTGGAAAACCTTCCATTCATAAACTGTGGCGTCCCGCCTCCTGCACCATACATTGAAGGTAACCTCAGCAACGTTTCCTGGAGCATAAAACAAGGTTTCTTCCGTGCTTTGAGGATCAGATAAGCAAACCTCAGGCTCGGCCAGGGTTAGTTTTAAAAAGGCACTTGCAGGGCCGAGCACAGTGGTTCAGAGGCGAGCGGGTGTCCGTGAGTTCGAGGTCAGCTTGGCTCACGTGGAGAGTTCAAGGCCAGCCCGGGGTACATAGTGAGACCCCCGCCTAAACCAGAATTTTTAAAGACGGCGGAGACGACGTCGGAGTTCATCCCCAGGATCTGGCGGAGCTCCCAGTTACTAGCTCAGACCGTCCGCCCTCGTGCAGGGCTGACAGGTAAGGAAGACTTTCCGCCCCGCCCCGCCAGGGCCCCGCCCCGCCAGGGCCCCGCCCCTCGCCGCCCTGCCGCGCGCTTGCGCAGCGCCGCCAGCCAGGGCCCCGCCCCTCGCGGAGCTATTATTGGCCTCGGGGACAGGGTTTAGCTACAAGATGGCCGCCGCGCGCCGGGACCCCCCGATCCCGAGCTCACCGACCCGGGAGTCGCCATCCCCGGAGCCGTCGGACCTGGTGCGGGCGACGAAGGGGGTCTGGGCCGGGTGTTCACGGCGAAGGAGGGGCGCAGGACAGGGGGCGGGGCCTAGGACTGGGCGGGGGGACGGTAAGGCTGCGGGGGCGGGGCCTGGGGAGGAGCCTATGGGGGCTGAGGAGCGAGGCCCGGGCGGGGCGGGGCCTGCAGACAGTGGGGGGGGGGCAGGGTTAGGGCCTGAGAGAGCCCTGGGGAGTGGATTTGCATAGAAGGGAGTGGAGTCTTAAAGAGGAGCGGGCCGTCGGGGAAATTACAGGGCTAGCGGATGGATGGTGACCTCAAAGGGCTGTGACAGTCCCCGTCACCACGTCGGGATGGCACGTGACGGGACAAGGACTGCCTTCTGCATGCCCCAGGGAGGATTCTGGGGGAGAAATGGGTGTTCCCGGTGACTTTGGGACCTCCAACTTGTGCCTGAAAGAGCAAATCAGAATACTGATTCCATTCAATAAACATTGAGCTCCAGGGGACCAAGACGGACAGAGACTGCGTCCTCCTGCAGCTGGCTGTCTTGTGAGGAGAAGGCGGGACAATAAACAGAATGTGTTGCTATATGTTCTATCAGGGAAATAAAAAGTAAAATGGTGGAGTGGGGGTGAGGAGAGCTAAATTTAGATGACCAGAAGTCAGCTGGGCGACGGCTTGTATTTACAGGGCAGTCAGTGAGATAAGCAGGATCCAGACCGTGATGGATATTATAGGGATGGCACGGGGTTTTAAGTGCAGTCGGAGGGCTTAGAACAGCGAAATGCTTTCCCTCATTTACATTCCCCAAAGTCCATTCAGGGTGCTCTAGAGAGGCGGGTCATGTGGGGCAGGGATTCCCTTTGGTGCTTTTTCAGTTGTAAGGACAAGAAATGATTAGGCGGCTTTTAACTAGTATAGAGGGGAGGCACGTCTGTGTCTGCATTTGGGGCAGGATAAGGAAATGCCAACTGGATACAGCAAGCATTCTGGATCGTTCAGAACAGGGTCAAGAAGCCAATGGCAGGGGCTGGAGAGATGGCTCAGCAGTTAAGAACACTGACTGCTCTTTTAAGAGGGTCAGTTCCCAGCTCCCCTATCGAGGCTCACAACCGTCTCTAATTCCACTTCTAGGGGATCTGACCCTCACTTCTGGACCCCATAGGCACTGCACACATGTAGTGAACATCATACATTCAGGCATTCACACGTACACATAAAAAGAAAAATCTGGGCCTGGTGGCGCACGCGTTTAATCTCAGCACTTGGGAGGCAGAGACAGGCAGATCTCTGTGAGTTCTAGACTAGCCTGGTCTACACAGCCAGTACCAGGTCAGCTAGTGCTTGATAGCGAGTGAAAATCTTGTCTCAAAAGAAGTAAATAATTAAGCATTTTAAAAAACCAAGGATCCAGTTGATTTCAGAGGAGCAAATGTTTTATTTTAAAATTTTAATTTATGTATTTGAGGCATGTGGAGGTCAGAGGGCAATTTGGGAGAGTCAATTCTTTGCGCCCTTCGGGTCCCCGGGATCGTTAGGTTTGGCAAGTGTCTTTAACCACTGAGCCATCTCGAGAGCCCGGGGAAGTGTTAGGCATATTGAAGAATGCTCTTCCGAGCAGGGTCCACAGCCTCCTGTTTCTTCCGCTCTCCAGGTCCTGGTGCCTGATGGTGGCCGCTCTGCCACACCAAGTGACCTCATCGAGATCCAGGTGGTAAAAGTTACAGACACCACATCGGCCCTTGAGCCCCCGGAGCCGGGATCTTTTCAGTGTGCCCTGTGTCCCGCTGCCTTTCACCTGGTCTCAGAGCTGCTGTTTCACGAACATGGCCACCTGGCAGAGGTGGAGGGGTTTGGGCAGGGTGGGGACCCGAGCCGTTGTCACGTGTGTGGCCACAGCTGTTCAGGTCCTGCCAGCCTTCGGACCCACTACAGCTTACACACAGGAGAGCGGCCTTACCGCTGCCCACTCTGCCCACGGGCTTTTAAGGCCTTGGCCCCTCTGCTCCGGCACCAACGCCGACACGGGGTAGAGCCAGGCACCTCTCGAAGGCTTCCACCTGCAGCAGCAGCAACTGGACAGCCAAACCCAGCGGTGGCCCAGGAGAGGTCGGAGGTGGTGACGGCCGCGGCAGCTGCAGGGGCCGTGGTAGGCAAGCCGTTCGCCTGCAGGTTTTGTACCAAGCCCTTCCGCCGCTCTTCAGACATGCGAGATCACGAGCGTGTGCACACCGGGGAGCGGCCCTACCACTGTGGCATCTGTGGCAAGGGCTTCACTCAGTCCTCTGTGCTGAGCGGTCACGCCCGTATCCACACCGGCGAGCGTCCCTTCCGCTGCACACTCTGCAGCCGTACTTTCAATAACTCCTCAAACTTTCGTAAACACCAGCGCACCCACTTCCACGGGCCAGGGCCTGGGGTCGGAGAGTCCGGAGGCCAACTAGGGCCATCTTCGGGAGCCCAGGAGTCAGGGAATAGGCGTGAGACAGAGAACGCTACCGAAGAAGCGCATGGAGAGACCGCGCAGGTGAATGTGGAGGTTGACCAGTAGGCTGGGGGGTAGGACGCATATCATAGAAGTGGGTGGACGAATAGAAGCCAAAGTGAAGGAGAAATAATATGCAGCTGCGATTGGAGAGCTGAGAAGGAACCAGGTTCTGCTCTCCCAGAAACCCACACTATACTTGAGACTCAGGAAGAGGTACCTGCAATTCTGTAGCTGCCTTGCTAAATGTGAAAATACAGACACGGCAGAGCATGGCCCACTCCGGTAAGCCCAATATTCTGGAGACTGAAGCAGGAGGATTGTGAGGTCCAGACCAGCCCAGGCTGCAAAGCAAGACTTTATCCACCACCACCTCTGGTCTAATCGTAGACTACCTCTGGACCGTGTAGGGGCTGCCCTAAGGTGGACTAATAAGAAACCTTTTGCCTACCTCAACTGGATTGCACTGGTCCTACCCTCCCCGGGCAGAAGATGCCCACCAGGCCACCTCTAAAGCGATGCTACGATGTCTTCTCCCTCAAAACCTGAGGGTACCTAACCCACAGTTGGGAGTTCATGGTCTCTCAGATGTGAGCCTGCCCATAGAGAATAACTCCAAGCTCTGCTCACCTCTTTCATACCCCATAGTGGTCTCATGTTAACCCACCAGACTCTTCTGGAAGCAACTGAGAGCACACACTGCAAGCAAGCTTTAGGTTCAGAGCCTGTGGCTTCCCATGTCTACAAAGAAGTTTCTGGATTCTCTGTTTTCTTCCACTGTGAGGTAGACAGCTTCCTGCTTAGTCCTGGGCAATTCAGAGGAAGGGTTGACTGAGGACAACCTTCATGGGCTGGTCCAGGGTGTAGAGTGAGAGAAGACACCGTGGGAAGGGGCTGAAAAGGACTTGGGAACTGGAGTTTGGAGTGGGAGTGGGGACTTCTAGTCTGTTCCTATTAAAAAAAAATTCTGAAATGTTTCTTTCTCGTATTCCAGTTCTCTGGGCCTTGCTATGCCTGTTTTCTTATATCTGGAATGGGGAGGGGCTAGGCTTTGGCTGTGTTGTAAGACGTTTTGTGCAATGAAGGGATGTTGGGGGTTGGTGTGTTTACTCATAAGTCCTTGATCTTCTCATGGAGATGTGTTTGCTGCTAGTTCAGTCCTTGTTCATCCAGCATCCCCAAGAGATGACCCTCAGATGATGCATAATAAATAAAAACTCACCATTTCCAGGGCTGAAGAGATGGCTCAGTGGTTAGGAGCCCTGGCTGCTCTTTCAGAGGTCTTGAGTTCAATTCCCAGCAGCCACATGGTGGCTCACAGTCATCTACAATGAGGTGTGGTGCCCTCTTCTGGCCTGCAGGCAGATCACTGTATGGGTGATATATAAACCTAAAAAAACTCTCCCCATTGCCTCTAAAGAAAGGAGCCTGCCTCCAGCATCATTAGCGCCTCATCTGAAGCTAGAAACCTACACAGGTTCCTTAAGCCACCTTCTTCCTTGGTCCTGCTTCTGATCAATCTCCCATAGTGAGCAGTTAAGCACGTTTGGCATCAAAGAGGCAGTTTCTTTCATCGCCTCTTCTTGTAGAACCTGCCTCATGCCTGAACGGCTACAGCAGCATGTGTCAGGTCCTGCCTGCTTCACTTTCTCACGTGGATCCTTGGCACTAAACAGAAACTCCCTGTTGCCTTTGGAAGGGACCACCAAACACCAGCAGCGGATAAGTAGCCAGATTCAAGAGGAGGGGAAATATAGCAGCTGACCTCAGGCTCGGTTTTCAGATTCAACAGGAAGCGGGGGGGGGGACTGGATGCTATGGTAGTTTGTACACTACATCAAAAGAGGTCGGGGGGGTTGGGGGTGCAGTTCAGCTACTAGAGTGCTTACCTAGCAGGCATCATTTCCTAGGTTCAGTCTCCAGCACCACAGCAGCCAGGCACATGCCCATCTTCCGAGCATTCCAGGAGTAGAAGCAGGAGGATCACACGTTTTTAGTCTTGGGGAAGGGAGGGGCTCAGAAGCCCCACTCCTCTCTGAGGAACTATAAGCAGCTGGTGGCTGCCTCAGTGGCGCAGGTATTGCTCTGGTAAATAAGCCACCCAACCCATGTTTATGCGAGCAACCCTGACAAAACACAGCGGGTCACCAAGAGAAGAGGACAGGAACACAGATGAGCTTGCTGGAAAGAAAGGGTTCAGCCAGATGGTGAGGGGGATAAGAGCAGAGTGGGAGTTGTATAGATCCAACCAAAGGTGTGTGTGTGTGTGTGTGCGAGTGTGTATGTGTGTGTGTTCTCAATTCATAATCCTCCGTGTGTGTGTGTGTGTGTGTGTGTGTGTGTGTAAATATACGTATGAAATTGAGAATAAAAATAAAATTACAGCCTTTAATCCCAGCACTCGGGAGGCAGAGGTAGGTGGATCTCTGTGAGTTCGAGGCCAGCCTGGTCTACAGAGTGAGTTCCAGGACAGCCTCCAAAGCTACAGAGAAACCCTGTCTCGAAAAACCAAAAACATAAAATAAAATAAAATTACAAAATTGGGGCTGAAGGGGTAGCTCAGTAATTAAGAGAAATAACTGTGCCGGGCAGTGGTGGCGCACGCCTTTAATCCCAGCACTTGGGAGGCAGAGGCAGGCCGATCTCTGTGAGTTTGAGGCCAGCCTGGTCACCTCCAAAGCAATACAGAGAAACTCTGTCTAGAAAAACAAAAACAAAAACAAAAAAGAGGGATAACTGCTCTCCAGGAGGATCATGGTTTGACTCCCAGGACCCACACATGGTAGCTCACAACCACCTCTTCTGGCCTTTATAGACCAGGCACCAAGAGGTCCACAAACATACATGCAGGCAAAATAACCATACACATACTTTAAGTAAAAGATCTAAACACAAAAAGAAACTTCACATTGTGGTGGTGCACAACTTTAATGTCAGTACCAGGGAGGCAGAGGCAATGGGTTCAAGGCCAGTCCGGTCTACACAAAGAGTTCCAGAACAGCCAAGGGTTTTGAGACCCTGTCTCAAAAAAAAAAAAAAATCGAGGCTATTCTTACCTCCAAAGTCAGTCTATATATAGCCAGCCTCGAATGCATAAGACCCTGTCTCAGTCTGCAGACTGCAGTAAGATTTGCTCTCCCAGCCTACCGGAGTGTGAATGTCAGTGGCCAATCAATTCATTTTTCCCTAGTGCCCAGGTCAGGTCGGGAGCCTCAGAACCTCTATTATCAGCTCCTGAGAGATCCACTTACCTGTCTCCACTCCCTCAACCCAGGTGAAGAGACCGTGAGGTGGTGTGTGTCCATCCGGTCCTCAGAATCCCCCAGGAACAGCAAGGACAGACCCCAGCGGCCCTGTTGATACGATTTATTGTTCTCTGCTCTGTACAAGCGGCGTCTGTTCCCCCCACCCCCCCCATCCAAGAGCACCCAGACCCCCACCTGTGCCCTCCCAACTCTGTCCACAGTCCACTGTCCAGCCAGATCCCAAAGGAAAGCGGAGGCATTGAGTAATTCAGACCCAACTCCACCACAGGTCGCTGGAGCCAAAATGCTGCTGGGTAGCAGATGAGGTTTACAAAAGAAGGCTGGACGGAGGAACGAGTTCAGTGTCTGATGGACGAAAAGGGGAGGGCCAGAACGTTAATCTTCAGTTTGCAGGGCACGGGATCGGAAGGAAGCTAGACCAGCTGTAGTTCTTTAGAACGGGTAACAGTGAAGGGGGATGGGGAAGAGTCTGACCAGCAGCCCCAGAAAAGGGGGAGGGGGGGGGAGAGTTCAGAAGGGAACATCTGATTGGAGTGACACACTGAACGCCCCTGGTCAGGGATCCTTCCCCGCCAAGGTGCTTCCCCCTGTCCCCGGCCCCCCAAACCCTTCAGCCTTGTGCATCAAGCGGTGCTTCTTCAGACCGTAGGTGTTGGCGAAGCCCTCGCCGCAGGAGGAGCAGCGGAAGGGTCTGCCACCCTGATGGGCAGCCAGGTGCTTCCGGAAGTAGCCAGGATCCTTGAAGGCCTTGAGACAGGCAGGACAGCGCAGCTCAGGCCGTGGGGGCTCATGGGCACGCTGGTGGCGCAACACGGAGCTCAGGTAGAAGAAGCCCTTGCCGCAGTGCTCGCAACGGTAGGCGCGCTCGCCCAGGTGCAGGCGCTGGTGTTCCAGCAGGTTGGAGCGGTAACGGAAGGTCTTGCCGCAGGCGCCACAGCGCTGAGGCCGGGCCACGGCGTGCAGTCGCCGGTGCTCGGCCAGGCTGGAGGATTGGGCAAAGCGCTTGGCGCACACTCCGCACTTGAAGGCGCGCTCGCCCGTGTGCACGACACGGTGCTGCCGCAGGTACCAGGAGCGCAGGAAGCCTCTGCCGCACACGCCGCACCGGTAGGGCCGCTGCTCCGTGTGACAGCGCTGGTGGCGCATCAGCAGGGCCGCCTCCCAGAAGCGCTTCCCGCACACCGGGCAGCGGAAGCCCCGCTTCTGCCGGTGGCTTCGGCGGTGCAGCAGCAGGTCGTAGGCGCCCGCAAAGCTCTGGCCGCAGAGGCCGCAACCCAGGGTCCGGCGCACCAGGTGCACGTACTTGTGAGTCACCAGACCCAGGAAATGCTTGAAGCTTTGGCCGCAGGTGGCACAGCTGAACCGTTCAGCGCCTGCCGTGGCCCCCCCGCCCCCTCCGGTCACCGTCGTCCCACCCGAATCCTCGCCGCCCCCGGACACGCCGGCCAGCGCTGCCACAGCCGCCCCCACCTCTCCGGCCAGTCCGTTGTCCAGCACGCTGGATGCATCGGTGCCGCCGCTGGAACCATCGGAGGACTGGGGGCCACTGGGTGTCGGCGGCGGCAGGAGACGCTCCGGGGCAGCCTGGTGGACCAGCTTGTGCCACATGAGGTTCTCGATGAAGCCGAACGTCTTGCCGCAGGCGTCGCAGCCGTAGGGCTTCTCCGACATGTGGGCTTCCTTGTGGCTCATGACGTGGAAGAGGTCGGGGAAATGCTCCCCGCAGTCCGAGCAGGCGTAGCTCAGGCCATCGGCAGGCCCACCTGATGCGCCCGCAGCCCCGGGTCCACAGGTCCCCGTGGTCCCCTGGCCCGCGGCGAGGCCAGTGGCTCCGGCCAGGGCGCAGGGCAGCTGGAGCCGGTGCACCTGGCGGTGGCGCGTGAGGCTCTGCGGGTAGCCGAAGACCTTGCCGCACAGCTCGCACTTGTAGGGCCGCTCGCGGGTGTGCACCACGTGGTGCTTGCTCAGGTGGAACGACTCGCGGAAGCGCTTCCCGCACACCGGGCACTGGTGGGGCTTCTCGCCGGTGTGGATGCGCTCGTGGCGCTTCAGGGTCTCGCGGCGCCCGAACGCCCGGCCGCAGATGCCGCAGCAGAACGTCTTGCCCGGGACGCCCGCGCCACCCGCGCCGCCCGCGCCGCCGCCGCCGTTCCCCGCCCCGCCGCCGAGCAGCAGCGGATGCGCGCCGAGCAGCGGGACCGGTACCGCGCCGTAGACCACAGCCGCCGCGGCCGCCGTGGCTTTCTCGTCGGTGGTGGTCGGGTCGGCGGGCAGGAGGTAGGGCCCCGGGGGGAAGGTGGGGGGCGGCTGCGGGACTGACGCCGCCCCGTCCTTGGCCGGCTCGGTGGCCACGGGTGGCGCGTGGGCAGCCTTGTGGCGCAGCAGGCTCTGCGGCGCCGAGTAGGTCTTTCCGCACAGGTCGCACGGGTACACGGGGCGCGGGGCCCCGGCGCCTGCGTGGGCCGCCTGGTGCTTGAGGAGGTAGGAGGCATCGCGGAAGGCCTTGCCGCAGATGCCGCACGGCAGGCGCAGCAGGTCGGCCGAGTGCGTCTTGACGTGGCGCTTGAGGCTCTCCCTCCGGTTGAAGCTTTTGCTGCACACCGAGCAGGAGAAGGGCTTCTCACCGGTGTGGATGATCTGGTGCTGGTGGAGGTGGCTGGGCTTCTTGAAGACCTTCCAGCAGAGGGGGCAGGCGAACGGGCCCTCCCCGC